ATGGCTCCCACAGCCTGGTGTGTGCTAGCTGTTCTCTGGTACCTGGCCTCCTGTCGGCAGATGCGCTTACGCCCCCTCTGAATATACAGGTCGTGAACATGGCTGCCCACTCATCACCCTTCTGACTCGTCATGCTATTGTTGTTGGCCGAAATCTTGGTCAAGTGTTTGTTGTGGACTAGGAGGTGTGACGGTACGCCTAGGTGCGGGCCGGCCGTGTCATCTACCTGCGCCCTCCCCGTCTCCAATATTTTTAGCTACGTTAAGGCAGGGTGAAGGAGATAGTGCGGTTGATGTAAGTCACAGTGTCTGCTTCACCATGCTGTGGGCTACTACGACGGACATCGTCGGGCACGACGGTCGAACTGTTACAAAGATATTCCGTCGAATATACAACCCCCTGAATCTCGCTCCTTTATCCCGAATCGCAAGCTTGGTCATGCAGATCAATAAAATAAGCACATAAGTACTTGCACGGATAAAGTTTGAACCCCTGAGTCCAGTAAGCGCAAAAAATCGGCAAAGAAAAACTGACTAGGATAAAAGCAAAGGAAGAGTAAATTCTACAAAGCACGGGAGAATATCACCATGCGGGAATGCACAATATGCAGTACCTACAGGAATTCGCGGACATCAGAAATTCTTTCTTTGCACAATGCGCACATGCCTGACAAGCGTTGATGAGCGGAAGATGTTCCGTCCATGCAAAAGACCTCTTATGAGATCATGAAAGACTCACCGGACCCGTGGAATCGAGTGACTGACATGTTGGAGGGCTTGACCGGCTCTCCATTATCAAAGCGATTTGTAGAAAAAATCGACAAGGATTTGGAAAAAACGACTGAATTAATTGACTCTGGGCCAAGTAATTTTTTTTCTGTCCCTGCCTTGGCCTTCTGGTCGTTGTCTGTGAATGTACGTGACCTCCTGTGTTGTGTGTCATTGCCTAAATATGAGTTGGTCACACCTGTGCTCCCCTCTCGGTTGAGTTGGTCGACGGGCCATGGTTACCCGGTATTTTTATGATCCCTGTGACTGTCTTGTCCTAATCATGGCGTATGTAGTGACGTAGGACTTTATAGGCTGCAGAAAGATCTAGATGCCTGTTGCTGGCGTTGACATCTGAGTACCAAGCCTCAACTTTGCAATGTTCTGTCCTTGAGGTGTTCGGGCCTAAGACGGTTGTTCCTTAGACGTCAAAACTGTGGCCAGTTCCTCCGATGTGAGTCGCAATTTAAGTTCGGGTCTAGTCTCCGAGTTGCCAGTTTGTGCTCATGTAGGCGGGTCTGCAAATTCTGCCCGGTTTCCCCAACGTACATACAGTCCCATCGTTGCAACGTATTTGACAGACAATGGCTGAGGTTTCAGTGGATAGTGCTATGCCCTTGGGTTGCATCAAACGGCGACGAGATGTTGCCTGGGGTCGATGGCATGGATTTAGTCCGACAGTGATGGGGTCTTTTGGATGGTCTTCGACAAAATTACGGAATGAAAGCGCAGTAAGCACAAGTAAATAGTCCAAGTGGAACTGACGAGGACGATACCAGAGTAAGAGTAAACTCTACAAAGCACAGGAGAATACCAAAATGCGAAGTAAGTACAACATCATCTGGGAATTTATAATAAACAATATTTGCAGGATTTCACAGACATCAGAAAATTCTTATTTATATGTTGCGTACACCCATGGCAAGAATTAATGGTCGAAAGACGTTCTGTCCTTGCAGGAGACCCCTTCAATTATAGATAGCATGAAGTTAGTTCAACATTGACGGGGTATTTCGATGGTATTCGACAAAATGACTGAATGAAAACGCATAACAGTGACCGCAGGTGACAACCTCAGAAGGTTCGAGACATGGAATAGAAGTCAATACAAGTTGCTGTATTTTACGTTACCAAATTATTTACGCACAACAAAGCGGCTTCCAGAATCCAAGAATCTTTTCATAGGAATTAAATGGCGTCCGAGAAGTGAAGATGGCCGAGCAACCTTGAATTGCTAAAGGAAGCAGTTCATGTGGTCCACAAAGCTACTTGAAATGTTGCTTGCTATAAATTCACAAATGCCCGTATACTTAATACGCTTTTTTCTGACAACCCTATGTGTTTTGTAGGATTCCTTCTTCCTTAAATAGCCTTCTCGTCATTCTCCCTTCGCTGATGTGTTTAGCTTTCAGAAATTGAAACTTCGCGTGTTGAAGTACTTGGCTGACGATTTCGCCGATTCTACTTTAAATTTTCTTTCCGCATTTAGTTACGCCCCAGCATTGCCCTATGCGGCCGTACATTTCGCAATAGCATGCCACTACTTTTTAAAAATATTCCTACCGAAAGCTATGACTGTACTTCCTTAAAATATCATGGTAACAATAGAATAACAATTTCTTTGAAAACGTTTTCAAATATTTTGCCACAAAAAGATTAATAAGACAGTTATCAAGCTCATTCCCAATGGCTTATCGTCCACGAACATCAGTATCGAGTTGGAACTGTCCAGATCAACGGTTTACGCCATTATCGACCGTTATAAAAGTTCGGCCGCATTGAAAAGAAGCCTCGTAGTGGAAAACAAATGATTTGAACCTCTCATCTTAAATGTGCTGTTGGGGATCGTATTCGCTGCAGTCCAGTCCGGAGCATGAGGAGGCTGGTTTTGAAGCTTGATATGTTAGATCACGCTACAAGAAATGTCGCGAGAAAGGATCTGAAGGTTAAGTCAAGGACTACGACCAAGAAGAATCTTGTTACTGAGGCTGTGGAATTGGAGAGACTGGATAGAAGCAAGAAAATCTTAGGCTTCCTCCCGAAAGCACCCTACACAGTGCTCTAATCCGACGAAAAATGCTTCATGGTCGATTCGGTGTCCAACAGTCGAACAGATCATTACACAAGCCCCCCTGAAGATCAACTAGCTACGTGAGAGTGTAAGGTACAAGTTTCCGACTAAACATCCGGCCCCTGTGGTGGTTTTTGGCCTCAGACCGCAAAGTCGTGCCCCCCGTGTTCGTCAAGACTTGGGTTAAAGTGAGCACAGACGTGTACCTAAATTTTTTCAGAGTATGCCAAGCCTTGGGTAGATTCCACCTAAACTCCAGACGACAATGTGACCTTCCAGCAAACTGGTGCGACTCTAAATAGGCCACGGAAGACACAGAAGTGACTAGAAGACCACATGCCTTTCTTCTGGCCCAGGGATCTGTGGCCACCATTCTCACCAAACGTAAATCTCCTCATCTAAAGCACTTGGGCGTATGTTGAGGAGAAGGCCAGCAACAAGCCTCACAGCAGTATTGAGAGCCTGAATGTCTCCGTTGTCAGAGAAGGGAACAAAATATCACCGTAACAGGAACACGTGCGCAAATTTCAGATCGAGAGTCAAAGAAGTCATTGCTAATAAGGGCTCTTATATTAGATAGTTCGTTTCTAATAGGAATTTTGAGTCTTTTATGTAAACTACATTTGTTTCTCTAGTTTCTGTTCCTAATCTTGGTCAGGCTGTAGCTCGGATCCCTCAAATAACGAAATTTACGGTCGCCTACGGTACAGCCTAATCCACAGGGAAAAGGTTGCACGAACCAGCCCAAAATACCGCAAGTTTCTCCTCTTTATCGCTTGACGACCCCTCTGTTTGTTACATATTCTTTCGGGCACTCAGATTTAAAATATCTTTTTTTCTCAACACGCGCAGCAGAGAGTATGCCGTGAGCGCTTCCTAGTGTACACGTTTTGATTATTAACGAACAAGCCAGTTTAAATCAGAACAGTTTGACACCCGTTAATGTAACACTAGCTACTTTGCCTTCACGTTGGCGCTTAAAAACTGGTTTTGGACAGTCGGATAGTTCTGCCTAATCTGTGAATATTAGACAAGTCGTTGCACAAGGAAAGTCAAGTTTGCTGTTTGCGAAATGCCCGATCGAAACGATCAGGTTCGTGCTTTAAGTAAGTCGTCGTTAGGAAAGGAGTAAACACATTAGCGTCGCGCAAATTCTAATAAGCCTCCGAGTCACCACAACGGCTCAAAATGTGCAAAACTTGCGCAGAGCCAAAATTCTTTGACGTGATTAAAAATGAAATCGCTGATTTAGCTTTCAATCCCAGAGAAGAAATCATTCTATCCAAACAATAAAGGGTCGAGATGAAACCCTATGGCATATTTGAAGGAATATTTAAGGCAAAGGAGGAAAGTCCCATAGAATCCAAAATCCTAAAATTAAGCGAATGGCATGAGATACTGTTTGATCTGAAACGACCGGCGTTAGTTGATACGACCACTGATTAGTCGTTCTCGGCCCTTAATCACTTGAAAATGCTTCTAACCATCTTACTGTATTGACAGTTACAAGACTGCTAAAGCCATTCTTGGAGGAATTACAGTTTGAATACAGTTTGAATACAGTTTGAAGTTACAGTTTGAATACTGGCCTAAAAGTTGGATTTCAAATGAATTGGGCTGGTGTCCAAGTTGCCAGTCCGGAAATACGTCTCTAATGGGGATAACAATCGAGTGCTCGAAGCATATTAAAAAACCCAAATGTGATCACTTGCTATGCCACCTGCGTAAACATTTTAGGAATTTTTGCCCTTAAACGTAAAATTAAGTACCGACGAGTGTTCCCCTAATTTTGCAGAAAAATTGCGTTGCCGCTTCGACAGGCCAATTTTGGCACTCATGCGGCTAGCATGGAATTACTGGAATAAGGCGATTGGCCAGCACTGTGATTTTTCTATTCGTTTAAGTTTCAGCCAATCACATTTTCGCGCAGTCGGCGCAGTAAAAGAGCCTCTTGCGCATGCGATCCACTCGCACATTCACTCACTACGAGTGGACTATTCATGAGGTGTTAATCACTAAGGGACCCGGCCATGAATTTCTAACTGAAAGGAGCACTCCCAGGGATGTAAGATCGCAGACAGTTTAACGTAGACATCAAAAAAGGGAACGTGTACAGAGTCCAGTCCCTGACTAGTCCTGTGTATAATTGACGCGAATGCTAGATGCCCTATTTGGAGGCCCCGTTGCTCCTTCTATCTTACCTCTGGGGCAGCCTGCTTCCTCTCTGCGCATTCGCCTCTCAGGTGGACAGTGTTGACGGTAATTACATTCCAGCACGCGGTGTACTTACCCTTCCACGACCACAAATCTCCGACACCGTGGAAATAACAATGTTTGTCAAGGAGCACGCTGATAACGGAACAGTAGTCGGCATCCTGAACCAACAGTTCCCTTTTCTGCAGTCTGCAGCTGACCTGTACTACCAAATGTACGGCTTGGGACCCACCTATGAATTCGGAGAGCCAAGCGTGTCTGGTACGTCTCGACGTGCGGCAAGTCATTCAAACGACTCCATGGAATTACTCTTCCATATAGACCCCACCTCCTCTGTCATTCGCGTCAGTAATTCCCAGTGGCTGGATCGCGAACTCCTCTGTCCATTTGCCTCAGGTAACAATAAGGAGTGTAGTCTGGCCTACGCTGTCTCAATCAGTGGAAAGGCGAAGGCGACTCCGCGGTTGACACCACAACAGTCTTGGATACGTGTGAAGATAGTGGTCGAGGATATTAACGACAATCCACCCCGGTTTCAGTCCATAAACGACAGCGAGACGGCAACCGCCTCGCCGACTGCATGCAATCTCCACCTTCAGTTGAGTGAGGCTGTCCAGATTGGAACAAAACTCAAACTGCCAGACGCCATCGATCTGGACAGTCAAGCCAATGGTCTGCCAATCTATCAGTTCTCCTGCGAAGAGCCTAATCAGGTCAATGACGTTTTCACTCTCCGCCAGTCACGTGGGGAAAACGCTGTTAGCCGGATCTGGCTACTGCTGAGTAGCACACTCGATCACGAACGACAGGCCACCTACAACTGCACCCTCACGGCCTGCGACAACGGTATGCCCATTCTCTGCTCCTCCCTGCGTGTCTGTATCTCGGTGCATGATGTGAATGACAACAGTCCCGTCTTCCAGAACAGCAATATTTCCCTCATTCTGCGGGAAGACACCCCTCTGGGCAGTCGAGTGGCAAAATTCAACGCCACCGACGCCGACAGCGGTAACTTTGGTCTGGTGCGTTTCGCTCTGGTGGGTGGGGGGCAGGAAGACTATAACAATCAGAGTCATTTCAGAGTAGACGCCAAGACGGGTGATCTTATCCTGAAGCGGCGCCTCATCGGTGGCACAAAGTACCACTTCTGGGCTGAGGCCCGAGACGGCGGCGAGCCGGAATCCCTCTCCGCCCGCATTCCGGTCTCCGTCATTGTCACTGATGTAAATAATCACGCCCCCCGCATCGATATCCTGCCAGCGGCTGTACGTGTTCGGATCAGTAACAGTACAGCCGCAGATGCGGTGCGATCCATCATGTCGCAGGTGCGTTCAGCGCCCTGTGAACTGGCCTACGGATTTCCGGACAGCAGTGAGGGAAACAGAGCCTGTGACCAGCACAGTCTAGTGCGCATATTTGAGGATAATCTACCCCCCTCGAACATCGCCTTTGTACGCGTCTCGGATGAGGATGTGGGCGAGAATGCGCATGTCTCTTGTGAGCTCACAGTGGAACCCAACAGCTCTCTTCTCAAGGACGACGTCTACCTTCAAATGGAGCACCAGACTTCCAGTGGGAAGACTCTGTACAAGCTGGTCCTCAACAGAACCGTTGATTGTGAAGCCGCTAGCCCGGCGGGGACTGTCCGTCCTTGTGGCGGAGACTGGGCCCTGCACATGCGGATGACCTGTCACGATAACGGTCAGCCGCGCCAGCAAACGCTCCATAAAATTGCCCTGGAGGTGTTAGATGCAAATGAACATCCGCCTGTGTTTGAGAAAAGCCTGTACACGGTAGAATTAAAAGAGAGTCTACCTGTGGGATCCAATGTGATCCAGCTTTCCGTGACCGATCAGGACTCCCTGCCCAGAGGCAGCAGCGAGATTACTGTGGCTGCGGCGGGATCACTTTTGCAGCATTTAGGGCAAACGCTAAAATTCAGTTTGGATTCTAACGAAACCCTGCCGTTCGCCATCGACACGCTCTCCGGACGCATCTATTCTACTGAACAGCTGGATGCTGAAACGCGAACGGAGTATAACCTGACGGTGAGTTCTGAATAGACACAGTCCCTTTTTTCTTATTGCAACGAAGGAAGGCAAATTTCAAATATCCTGCCTACTTTTCTCCTCCTCGGCATTCCTTAGGATACGCGAAGTTAACTGTTAAAAATAATTAAAAAGACAATTTGGCGAGCATACGTGAGCTTTCGATAAATTCTCATCAGGCGTATACATTTATACTGCTATCGAAGGGATTAAAAAGAAAATGCGGGCAAGCAGAAATTTTTCTGTAAATGGGGTTTGGGGGAAGGAGGGTCTGGGTAGGTAAGGTGAAAAGCGGAATTATCGTCTGTGTTAGGTGGAAGAAGGTGATGGCGGGCATCGGAACGGGTAGTTATACGCAAGTGGCTGACATGGTGGCTTTGACGCATGGCAACTGTGGGGCCTGTAGGAAGTTCTTTTGCGTGCAGAGAACTGGTTTGTATAGCCTGATTGCAGCCGCCTCTGCAGTTGCCAACAGACGCTGTCCAGGTGATTTTGGATAGCTTGACGAGACCTTGTAAACCACTCGCAATACCTGTCCGGCACCTACACAGTAATCGGTGTCTACCATGTGGGCGTGGACAGAGATGTTGACGTTCAATGTATGACCCTATCCTAACTATGCTGGAAGGTGTCCTCTTATTCTTTTGGCATATACCGGCTCCTGCGACAAATATATTCCGCCCCAAGGAGTAAATACATATAGAAGTGGTGGGGGCTGGCAGTTTGTCCTTGCCCTGTCCACGTAGGATGAGACTAGTGGAGAAGAGTAGACGGGCGTCAGCTGCTGGAAAGGTGCATGATACAGCTTGAGTTAAAAAAAGAAGAGGCGTTCAAATGCAGTCTGACATCCCATATTCAAAGGCCGTGGATGCCTGTGAATAGTTCCCGTTATAATGCGCATTCTGACTGGTTGGCTGCTAAACCTGTCGAAGACTCCAAATGCGAATGTACGAGCATCAGTTGGTCATTCAGCAGTTGAACCCAGATTCGGAGGAAACAACTCTGCCGCACAGATTTTACGCCACTGTGGTTGTGGTCCGCGCCAATGCTTGCACTTCACGGCAGATGTAAGAAGCCCGGAAGTCAACCGACTGTTCAGTCGACGGCCACCACTTAGACTTGTCTCCCTCCTATCTGGTTCAGGGGAATCACCTGCAATGAGCCAGCGACGGCAACGTGAGTCCTAATGAAACTGCTCAGCGGACAGACTACGCCACATAATGAGAGCTGTGCGCACGGCTTTTCAGTATCTGGGGATGGGAAGGCGAAATCGCTACTTGAAACGCCAGACCTCCAAATAAACCCCACCAGATGGCCGGCTTTTCTTTTGAAACCCAGCTGTATTATGTGATGTGATATAAACTCTATCTGTAATTTTAACTGCGAATACAAAGTCAATCTGAATGTTCACTTAAATCTCTTTTGAGTGAGGTGTGACCGTACAAGAAAAGTACAACTCAAATTGGATGAACTATATGGCCGACCACGGACCTTCTCTAAAGAATACTTAAGTCCCTACTGCCTAAACTCCATGCAATTGCTGTCAGTTTTCCCCAGCCACGTTCTGCATAGTCACGGTGTTTAACCTATCAGGTGTCCTTCAGGAGATTTCCAATGGTAAGCCAGCTATGAATGCCAAATTTAGAATTTCATCGAGAAGGGCTGAAAAAATTGGAATCAGGGAGCTTATTATGACTTTGACTTGCACCCTTAAACGTGAACTCCAACCTGTTGCCCACGCTTACCGTAACCATCAATCAATGATGAGAATTTTTAACTGACCATAATTCCCATACTTATATATCCCCATAAAATTGTTTTATTCATACGTTGGGTCGAATAATACACTCCTAGTTGTTTCGTGTGCCTAGCTGCAATAAGTAGGACTTCCTTGGCAACTACTAGCAACCTACTTAGAGTGGCAGTTAGCTGATAAGTTAGGTCCACACCAAGTGATGCTTTGCCAATGAAAATATGTTTACCGCACGGGTTGTCTCTAGGGAGTTAGTTTTTTACCGCTGGTCGAAAATGATTGACTTGCACCAGTTACGGCAGGTTCTAATAAAAATGGGCTGTTAACTGTTCCCTAAGGCCCAGAAGACGAAGCGATGCTATTGTTATTTCATTGTTTTAACGTTCTTGGTAGTCTAACGAAAGGACGACTTATAGCAAAGTGGACAGAAGTGGAGTCGGGACTGACTGTTACTTAAAAACCAGCAAAGTGACAGCGCACTTCCCAATTTCTCCAGTTTGAACGAGGATTTCCGTTTGTGCATTATTTTACATCTAGGAAAAGAGGACTTTTTCAGTTATTAATTGCTTCAATACCTATACGCACTTCCATTACCACTCGAAGTGAAGGTAACCAATATTTTGTCTTGTATTTCGTTGAAAGAGCGGTAATATTTTCAGATCAAAGCGAAGAAATTCCCATTTCCGACGAGTACGACCATTCTTATCACTTAAGTGAGTAGGGCTGTTAAAATGCAGATCTGCTCTTGGTTATCGGGCCTGCTATGAGCGGAACACCTCGAAAACATTCGCTATTAACTTCGCACTGGTACTACTGAGTTTCTGTTATCGCAGTCACTGCGTGACTCATTCTCCGTTAGGTCATAAAACCTTCACCAGCAGAAAGGATATATGGGGTGGGAGACTCTTACATTGCATGCGTGACAGAGAAGCGGAGACTTGCAGGGAACTTTTACTAAAAGGCTGTTTCCTAATAGATCCATATTATCACGAAAAATAACATCTTAAACGGGCTTTCGTGAAGCACCGAAAAAATTTTACTTTTCGGGTCTGTGCGTATACATTAACATAGGTTTGTCTTCAATTTCATGCTTGGGGTTTCTTGACCTCGACATAAGCATTGACGGAACCAAAGCACTTACATTTCGCGCCCAATTTAGAATTATAATCTGGGTTTTATCCACGACTGCTGCAATGGAAACGCATCATCATGGTGGTCACGAGTGAAGTAGATAGTAGCCCACTAGGGTCCAGCTTTACGAAGAATTCACCAAGTCGACTATGTATTCAGAAAATTGGCTTGACCGTACGAAACGTATCCTTCGCTCCGTTTGCAATTGAATCCAGCTGCCGACACCAGAAATCAGATTTGGCAATGCAGAAATCCAAAGAGTATTTCACTTGAGTAACGCTCTCCTATTCAATCGAATACTCGACGTAATCATCTTTAAAGGATTGTCAGCTTCAGAAATTTACTATCTGATCCCTCTGGACTGGGCAGGGATGGCCTAGATGTTTAGTTCTGGTATTTGCTGAATTGGTGGCTGATCTTAAGCAAACTATGGGCTGAGCGGATACAAGGTGCAACTCTGAGCTCTACGGCCGCGGAGCACTAAGTCGAACGCTTTACATTGAGTAGTATTCACCTCGTCAGACGAAAAAACGGAGTTCAGTACCGGACCAGAGAGCTAGGTGACCACCACCTTCACGTGGATGCCTCCATATGGGCTTAAATCCGGCGTGGGCGCTGAGGACAACTTTTTACATTGGAATCATCCCATATTTCGTTGCTTTCCTGTATAGCCTTTTATATGCGTGGTTTGCTGGTAGATTTGATTTGCCAGGGTCTGTGACTTGTAAATTCTCACTACTTTTCGCAGGGTTGTGGGATTTTTGGAGCGATGTCGGTGTCTATGCTCAGTGCTGTTTAAGTATTCAAAATATAACCTACACCCGAATATAGCTTCGATATAAAGGCTTTTATATCAACCTCTTGACTATTCTAGGCAATCCACTGAAATTCCCTCAAGTGTTTCGCGTTACGTCAGCACCTCTTGAATGACTGATTGCGCATGATGTACCATTAACACTGATGTCTAATACACTCTTGTCCTGAAGGTATAAGTCGCAAAACTCATAAAATTTCTGGGGGGTTCTTGTCACTGCTTGGTCTACTATCTGGATTCTAATGACGGCAGGCCAGCTTAACCGACAGAGACAAGGGGGGGGGAATGGCCACTTCCGACTTATTAGTCGTCGTCAGCCAGTCATATTCAACCAGGTGATGTGAGCCCTCTGGAGCTCGATCCCGCGATCTGTTGTTTAGAAGTTAAACGTCCTATCCACTGAACCACGTGCTTGCTGCCCTGTCGATTGCGCTCAAGTATATATATATATATATGAAAAAAGAAGGCTCTTCGGAAAACCGAGCTGTACTCGTGAATTTTCAAGTCGGTGACACCGACCCGTCGTCAGACGAAATTAACAGAGGGGAAAGTAAAATGGGCAGACGAATTCGGCTGGCGCGACAGGACGGACAACGACAAGCAGACTGCTGATGCGTGAGAGGGGTGGGCAATGATTTATGGTAGGCTGCGGGGCAGGGGGAGGGAAGGAAGAACCGTTAGGGCTCCCTGTGTTGGAGGTGGAGCAAATGCCGGGGGATTGCAGATCAGTGTAAATACGGGCGGCTGGTCACTGATGCGGGATGAGGTCAGGGGGCAATGCGCTGGGGTTGAAGGTGTTAGGGGGTTTCGGTTGTTGTTCACCGTGGCACAAGGAGGGGGCGGAATGTCGAAACAGCATACGTCTATGCGGCCGAGTGGGGGTTAGCAGTTGTTAGGGTGTGGGAACAAGACAGTGAGCGTGTACATAAGCCCTCGCAGTGAGCGTCTAGATCGACGTGGCGGTTGATGCTGGTCGTGCCAAAATGCCAAGCTTCGAGGAATTCTCTCGCCTGTCTGGTGTTAGTCCTTGCGATCACGTAAGTACCGTCCCACTTGAAGCGGTGGTCATGCTCAGGGGCGTGCACGCATAACAGGATGAGTAAGTTCCGTAACGCGATCGGTGAACGTCCTTCTTCCGTTGGATTTTAATCACTACGTTGGCGGTCTCGAATGCGACCGTACTTAAATGTGATTCTAAAGCAGGTAACCAATATTCCAGATTGGTGCCCAGTCACCCATGCGTGTTATGCTACCTCTAGATCTTTAGATCCGAGAGCCTGCTTGCTTCGCAGAAAGTACCTGCCTAAATCTGTTCTG